GTGGTTTGGTGCACGCTACTCCATAGCGGAATCTTATGTTTAAATAAAAGACGTTGCTAAAACATGACTCTCAATTTTCCAGAAATCTCCCTGCATCCTGTGATTCTCATTCTCACTGACACTAAGGTCGCTTTATGTTGCCAGGAAATAAACAAAAATCAGATTTTACACATGAAGATGTAGTGTAATGAGGAATGGGAATTGAGAATCATGGAAAATAGAAAAGAACAACTTGTGTGGAAAATTGCTATTTTCATTCCACATCTGCAAATGTTCCTCTTCAACAGAGATGCCAGATGAGCAAAATTCCTATAATGAGATTTCTCATGGGTTTACCAGGGAGAAGGCAGAATTTACCTGCAATGCTTGGCATTTGCTGCAACATAAAATCCTGGAAACAATATTAGAAAGTGTTGTTTATATCAGCTGAGATTGAAAGAAAGGATAAAAATAATTGGCAGAAAAACTAAAGCTTTATTTACCTGTTATCAAAACTATTGTAGGAAGCAGTTTATAATATTGCTTTACTGTTATTCCTCTGGAGAGCTGTGTCTGTCATTGCCAAAGAACATCCTGAATATTCTAGAATTTGTTTCTTTAAAACATCTGAAAAGCACAAGAGATTTTACTGCATTGCAATTTTATTCCTGACATGCAAAAAGACAGTTTTATAGTTATCATTGGTACTATTTTTTTCTGTTATGGTTTTATATATTAACAGAAGAAAAAGGAGGTGGTTCTGTAGGCTTCTGGGATTATTTTGATATAAATTTCGGTGTTCTGACCTACAATGAAAGGACTAATCTGCAGTAAGCTAAATTACTGGGCACTCCTGCTTTATGCTAACAACACTGAGTCTGAAAATCCTGAGAAGACTTTTCAAATAGGCAGCAGAATACAGTAAATAATAACAGAAGCATAGTCCACATTTTACCATCCCAGAGAATATTATAGAATGGAAATTTTACAGATTTTGGTAGTATTTTTACAGGGAAATTTCCATCAAATTAAACGCTTTGTGTTAAATTGTCCAGTAAAGCTGATGACCCGTTCAGTATTGTATCTTCAGTGTTCATCCCCAGGGTAAAACAACAGTAAATTCAGTTTGCAACTAGAGCAAATGAAATAATTTTTATTGCTATTATTATTTAAGTTATCCTTGTAAGTATCTTTACAAAATGAGGCTTCTTACAATTAAAACATTGTTTTCGTATTATAATCAAGAAATGATAATGCTAACAGCTTTGGTATTGTGCAGGCTACCACAAAGTGAGCGCTTTTGCCAGTATTTTATTCTGTATTTTAATTATGGGTACCGTGAAAATTGCCTATGAATGAAAGTTGTATGTTGCTTTTTTTCTCTTCGATCCAAAATAATTTCGCGTTTTACTCCATATCAGGCAACATATACTCAATTCCTGTGTATTATAACACTAAATAGACGATGAATACATGTTTATATTAGCAATTTTTTGCTTCTTTAGCTAACTCGTGAAAACAAATCCTGCCTTGATAGCTTCATGCTACATGTAAGCAATAGGAGGAGCTGTTGAGCAAGAAATGGTTTTTTCCACATGTTCAAGTCATTACACAGTGTACAATAACTAAGTTTTTGTGAAGCTTACTCATGATGGCTTTTCATTCCTTTCACAAATGAACAAAAGCCAGAGTTTCCCCCCGCCAAACCAAAACGAAATCCTTCAGTGACAACTGATATCCCAAGTATTTAGGAAATTTTTATTGTTGATTTCCAGTGTTTAAAAGAATGTGTTTGAATCTTGAAATTCCATTTCTCTACTCGGGAGATTTGCTAGAGTAAGTGGTGCAGGATTCAGCGACGGAGCCCACAACAAAACCCATGAGTGGGTTTTTTGGCTCGCTCTGGATCAGACCACAGGGCTGTCTCAACGTTGCTTTGAATTTTGCACTTAGTGGTCCATTTGTGTAGAACTAGTACTTAACATCTGGGATATTAGCATTTAATTAGCGGACAGTTCCATTTATAGGGCTGAGTATTTACATGGATTACTTTGAGATGGCCCTATCGAACTGACAATTGCTACCCCATTGCATCTGTTTAGCAGAACAAGACTTTGCCTGTCCCCTATTGTTTCATCTGCCTCCCATTCAGAACGGAAAGCTTTAGATGCTGCAGCTGCAGCGCGTTTCAGGTCATATTTTTACAGCCGCCATGCTTGTGGAACCAACTCAAACTCCCTTGCAGTATAAAATATGTATAACGCAATGGAAGATAGGCAACAATAATCATTTTGCTAATGGACTGCTCCAAGGTGGTATGGAGCATCTTCTGCTTCTGGGGGCATTTAGCACCGAGAGGATCCTGTACTTCTTTGGAGTAGGTTGTTGTTGGACAGTGTATGGATACTAGTCCTCAGCAACCAAAATAACAATGAGGAGACGCACGCTGGTGGCTGGCAGAGTGATTTGTGCACTCTCTGGCTTGAAACCACTTTATTTCACTTTGCATTTCCATAGTCTGGATTCAAATTGCCATCAGTGAAACACAACTTTCATACAAGGCACTCTTCCTGACAGTACATACACATTTATAGTTCATTAAAATGTCAATTAAATGAATAATGAATTAGTTGGCGGGAGTGAGCAGTATTCTCCACATTTTTACCTTTATTTTATCTTTCATTAAGCATAAAATCAAATAGAATTAAAAGAAGCCGTAAAACAGTTGTTATTATTAAAAACAAACACAATCATTACAGAGTCAATTTTGCTTAGCGGCCACGTACAGCTTCCAGCCAGTACAATGAACAACTCAGAGGGGAGTTGCTGCAGCAGAGACAGCAAAAAACCCCGGGAGAAGAAATTAGCTCTCTAAGGGCACATGTACAAAGACAAATTGACTGTGCTGAGGGATCTGTCTGGTAATGCAAGCGTCCCAGGCACGCTAAGACACAGCTTAGCTAGAACAAAACTGAGGCTTTGTTTAAACTGAGGAGTTTTGCTAGAAAAGCTCTGTTCGCAAAATGGGGACTTAGTCTGACCGAAAAGCTTCAGGCTAAGATGTAGCTACAAAGTTTGTAGTAGCAAAAATACTATTGGTGCGAATTATTTCAGCCTCTGTTTGTCACGTTTAGCCTTCTGTCTCCTGGAGGTACTCGTTGAGTTAGCTAGTCAGTCAGCATCACAAGCTATGGATGCTCTCAAGTCAGTGTCGTTACCGTATTACCCAACTCATGGGCGCCTATTTTGGCCTTTCAGGTAAAGAGCCCGCCGCTCAACTCGAGTGGACAGTGACAGATGGGGAGATAAAGGTAAGAGTTTCTTCAGGCCTGAAACGTACAACGTTGGCTAGTCCTTTGAAATATTAATGAAGCGTTACGTACCACTAAGATTTAAAAACAGTATCATCGTTATAGACAACATCTGTCATTAACGTTCCTGCTTCTCAGGGCTGGATGTAAGAATCGGGCCCCAAAAGGCTTAATCATGAAATGTGGGTTAACCAGGTTTGGGTTTATGTCATTTACTTAAGCTGATCTTTGAAAAGAACAAGCAAAACAATAGTTTGTGTATGTTTATGTGTGACTTTTATGTTAACAAAAGTCCCAAGCAAGTGGGAGCTGCTGGAAGGCTCGGAAGGCACGTACCTGGACACTCAGCCTTGGCTGAGAGGCAGTTTATTGTATTTTTCACTCAAAATTTCAGACTTCACTCAAAATTGCAGTTTGCTGATTTGTTTTCAACACCACTCTTACGTGCTTGACTACTGTATCAGCTGTCATACTCGCTGAGGCTGGCCGACGAATTTTGTCAGTTTTCAGACCCCTGGGCTGCCAGCTGGCTGAAAATCACTCCAACTCATTTGCGGCTCAGGCACTATGCTGAACTGTTTATATTCCAGCAAACTTCTGCTCACACAGTCACCGCTTGTAATTTTCCTTGCTTATCAGCAGAAAAACGATGACTTACAGAAATGGGTCAAAGAAAGAGAATACACGTTTTGAGTTCTGGTTTGGTTTTTTTTTTTTTTCTATTAGAACGCTGTCTGGGCGAACTCTACTTACCAGTTTTATAACTGAGAAATTCTTACTTCGGTTCCCCTTCACCTGCGAGCCCGGGAATGTAACTGGAGACTTCCTGACGGTCTTGTCAGATTATCCTCTAGCAAAACGACAGCGCTGGTTTGTTTCTTGGTTTCCCCGGGTTTTTAGCAGAAGCAGAGGTGCCTGACGGGGTCACCCCGGCTTTTGAAATGCGCTCAGCCGCGGTCGAGCGTTTGCTGCCCCGGTGCTCGCTGAAGAGGGTGCGGGCCGGCTGTAAGCGGCAGGGCTGCGGGGCTCCTTCCGCACCCGTTCGCACCGATCGGCCCCCACCGCCC